GATGCAAGTGTTCCATAAGTCCTGTACATGCACATATCCTGCTGTGAAATAACAATGGATGATAACCGGGGGAGGGGGGGGCTGGGCGGAGGTGTATAGTACTGGTGGTGAAGCGACTGATACCTGACGAATGCTGACGATAATACGAAGGGGGCGTGAGTGATTGTGTGTGTGTGTGTGTGTGTGTGTGTGTGTGCATATGTGTGCTACCTCTTCTCTACCGCTGTGTGAATAGGTACAGTAAGTGCCCCCCCTCCTCCCTCTATCATCCCTGGTATCTTAGGCCAACGTGCGCCAGCCACCAGGTGGAACTAGTGCAGGTGGGCGTTCCAGCTACGATCTCGATCTGCCATAGTCACACACGCACCTTCGTCAGAACAACACCTATACTGTACAGGTAACTAACTGCGCGTGTGTGTGTGTGTGTTGGGTAGTCAAGTGCGGCACATTTAGGCATGAGGATACTACAGCATCTGTACAGTTGACATAAAGCTGTAGGCAACTTGTATTCACTCATTATATCTAAATCAAGAATCTGCAATATGAGGATAAGGTTTTATGGTTTATTCTTCTTATAAGTTTATCATTGTTAACATTTTCTTTAGAATTAGCGTGATAATAGATGATGTTCATGATCTATTATCAACACGGATATGAACCACTAAATGTTGAAGATGATTATTATTAAGTTACGCCCCACACAAAATGGTGCGTAGGCCGTATTGCCAGTTAGAACCAAATCCGCCATGACCCAAGGCGTCGACGGCCAGTAAACCAAGGAAGCAAGCAAAAACCAAACAGTGTTGGGTCTTCAGTCGACGTTCTGTATATGGATGTATTTACAACTAATTTTATCTAACTTACAGCACGTATAATTTTCATACTAAAGAATTTATATATTTACCCCCCCAAAAACCCTTAAAGTCGGTGAAGACAAAAAATCGTTGGAGTACAGTAACCGGAAATAAACTTACTGTCGACGTGGTGTAGTGTAAGAGATGTTATGAGATGTTATTGACATTAAAATGTTGAATATTATAGACTTGCTACTAATACTATTAAGGGGCTGTTTCAAGGATTCAAAGTTGGCAAGATACTATTTTTGAAGTGTGTGTGTGTGTGTGTGTGTGTGTGATAATATATATATATATATATATATATATATATATATATATATATATATATATATATATATATATATATATATAGAAGTATGTGTGTTTGTATGTCCGCACGAGAATCTCGGAACCTACTTTACTACTTTACCGATCTGTAGTGATGATGGATGGTGTTATATGTAGTGATGATGATGTATGGTGTTATATGTAGTGATGATGGATGGTGTTATATGTAGTGATGATGGATGATGTTATATGTGGTGATGATGGATGATGTTATATGTAGTGATGATGGATGATAAGATATGTAGTGATGATGGATGGTGTTATATGTAGTGATGATGGATGGTGTTATATGTAGTGATGATGGATGGTGTTATATGTAGTGATGATGGATGATGTTATATGTAGATGATGGATGATGTTATATGTAGTGATGATGGATGTTATATGTAGTGATGATGGGTGGGATGTAGTGATGATGGATGATGTTATATGTATGATGGATGATGTTATATGTAGTGATGATGGATGGTGTTATATGTAGTGATGATGGATGGTGTTATATGTAGTGATGATGGATGGTGTTATATGTAGTGATGATGGATGATGTTATATGTAGTGATGATGGATGTTGTTGTATGTAGTGATGATGGATGGTGTTATATGTAGTGATGATGGATGGTGTTATAGGTAGTGATGATGGATGATGTTATATGTAGTGATGATTAGACAATAAAATAATAACAGTTTAATGCTAAAAAAATATACTTTGCTGTACCGTTGTAGTGGAACTTACATACACCGTTAATGAACTATTGATGGAAGAAGAAGTTTTAGGGACTGAACAGTGAGACAATGTGGAGCCTCCCAGATGGTGGCGTCCTACCGTGGCCTAGCGAATGAGCCGCCCGGACCAAACTTGGCATGGATAGCAAGTGTCATGTGGGGATCTCAAAAAAACCCAACCAACCCGATTCGACACACCCAACCCGACCCGACCCGACCCGTTTAACCACACAGAGGTTGAAAAGGATGTGGAAATGTTGTAAAGTCCTCAACTGAACTCACTAACATGGTCTACCCAAACATTATCCACCACTACAAGGCTCACAAGTGGCTGCGTGAACGAGCAATTCTGGAACCAAAGAAAGAAACAGTGGCTGAAATCAACATGACTCTACTCAGACAGCTTCCAGGCAGTGAGACCTCATTCAAATCTGTTGATACAGTAATCGACCAGGACCAAGCAGTCCAGTACCATGCAGAATTCCTTAATTCTTTGGAGCCCGCTGGAATGCCTCCTCACCACCTCACTCTCAAGATTGGAACTCCTATAATGCTCTTAAGAAATCTTGAACCTAGGGAAAGAGCCGCCCGGAGGGCGGCGATTCCGCTAGTAGTAATAATAATTAACGGTTTATTGAAAAGGCATGGCAGCCGGAAGGCTGAAAATATACAGTTGCATAATTGGGGAATGGCAATTAATATACAAGTAACAAATGTGATACAAATATGATACATAATAACTAGGTGGGGAGAAAGTCATACTAGAGGGCATTTCAAGATAATGACAGTGCAAAAGGGTATAAGATTGACTGGGAGTGACTACACTGGTTGATTACAAGTTATTGATAATTTTTACAATGGTTGGGACTGGGCTGTTTGTATAGCAATTAGTACGTGCTCGTATGGGCTGGACGCGGTTGTGGTGTCGAACAGCAATTCGCGAACGAAGGATCTCGGGTGGTAGTAGGAGCCGGTGTCGAGGATGGTGCAGAAGTTTCTCACCGAATTTGCAGATGAGGTCGTGGTGATGGTCAGAGAGAGCGCTTCTTGATATGTTAAGTAGGAAAGGGAGAGAAAAATCTTGCATGCCCTCTTTTGCACTTTTTCTAGGTGTTTACGTTGTGTGGCATTTAGAGAGGAAGATCAGGCAGGGTAGGCATAGGTGAGCTTGGGAAGTATGAGTGCCGAGTAAACACTGGGGAACTCGGGCGCAGGAACTACGAGGGACTTGAGTCGGCGGAGGAGGTGGAGACGGAAACTGGAGGATTTGACAATTTCACTGACGTGTGTTTTCCAATTTAGTTTGTTATCTATAGTGACGCCGAGGGGCTTAGCGGACTCTACAACCTGGAGTGTGTTAGGGCCTAAAGTAATGGAAGGGGGTGAGATGACGTCGGAGGAGAGGTTGATGTGCTTAACCATGGGCATGGTATGGCTTATGGTAACATGGTTGTTGGTGGCCCAATTTTGGAGACCAATAAATCCTGGAGGGCGGTATAGTCGGGAGCCGAGTTGTTGACACTGATCCCAATGGTGGAGTCGTCGACACATTTCCAGCATCATTGATAAGCATAAGGGCGCAGAGTGTTCCCATTTTGGTGCCTTGCGGGACGCCACAGGTGAGTGATTGAAAAGTGGAGACAGCCCCTCGGAAGCGTACGGCTTGGCGTCGGTCACTAAAGAAGTCTGTAAGCAATGGTGTAAGACGTCTTCGAAACCCGAGGTCGATAGCTTTGTTGATGATTAAATTGAGGTCGACTAAGTCAAATAATTTGGTGAAGTCGATGAAGACGACAGCCACAGACGTTTTTCGTTTTTACAGATGGTGGTACATGTAGTCGAGAAAGCTGACAAGACAGTGAATGGTAGAGGAAGTTTTCATATTGAGAAATTGCTGAGAATCTATGGCGCCTGCAATATCCGCACCCAGTCAACAACGAAACTTTCACAGATTAAGCTGGGAATTGGGATGATTGCAATGGGTCGTAGCTCATTTAAGGATTGTGGACTGGTTGACTTGGGCACTGGTGACAGATATGAGGTCTTCCAGTCAGCTGGGCATCTTGCTTGGCTGAGGGGTTTAGCTAGTTCCGGAGAGAACTCCTTGTAGAGTTTCAATGGTAAGTCAATGGGGTGGTGGAGCGCTTTAACTTTAGTGTGTGTGTGTGTGTGTGTGTGTGTGTGTGTGTGTGTGTGTGTGTGTGTGTGTGTGTGTGTGTGTGTAAAGAAGGCGTCAATAGTACAGAACGTATATGGGTAAATATAAAGTCCACGCTTCTTACCCTACAAACATATGGAGAGAAAACCAAGCCCTTTTTCACGATCTTGGTTATTGGATTTCCTTAATTTACAGCAATCACACCACTCCCTAGACTACCCTTTATTATCTGTACTTAAACTGACGTCCCAAATCAATACGGTGTAGGTGTAGTCAACGTATTGGACGCCGCATTACGATAACAGGAAGCCCATCATGTCAAACGGGCCACGGAGAGCATCTGTGTATATTTACTGTACCTTATTCTGACTGCTGTTTCCATGCCTTGGTAGAGTTCCTTCAATAAACCCATTCACTACTTACATGGTAACTTCGACCAGTATAGCTTACAGGTTTATTCATGCACTACTTAACCCTTACGGTAATCTACTAGGTGTAACACTTATTATTCACTGTTTGCCATAGTCGTTATATTGCCCCACATGGGTACCTACAGTACTGAACCACATTATCGTTTATCTTGGGCTACCATTGGTTGAGTTAAATTACTGCTAGCCATTGTATATTGCTCATGCACATGCTGAGCCAAAGTGGACTTGTATTATGATTTACTGAATATCTATCTATATATCTATTTATTTAACTATATATCTATTTATCTATATATCTATCCATCCATCCACCCGTTTATCAATATCTATATATTTTATCTTTATATATCTATATCCGTTTATACGTCTATCTATCTATTCACCGCATTCTATGCCGTCGCAACTCCAAGATGGAGTCAGCCAGAGTAACTCTGGGGGTGTTGATGACACTGCTAGTGTGTGAGCTGGTACCGGCCAGCCTGACCCCTGAGATGCCAACCCCTCAATGGCAGGAGCAGACCCCGGGAGGACCTGAATGCCAAGATGGAATTTTACAGGCAGAGGTTTCGTGATGATGGTGGCTGCAAGCAACACCCGTCTCCGCCTGATGGCCGTGAGTACTGTCCACACACACACACACACTTATTATATGCAGACACACATACACATGCTGCGCATGCAGCATACATATACGCGTGTACAGGCGCACATATAAGCACATACAAATATACACATATGCATATACACTCACAAACAGAGATGGGGAGAGTCCTGGATTGAATGTATAACTCTTGTTGTTGTAACACTTGATACTAACCCCAGTATCGTTATGAGCAAGTTTCAAGGTTTACCCCTGTGGCCGGTCATTTAACCTCGTCTCTTGAACTGATACCGCAGAAAGAACGCCCCTGCGGACACATAAGATTTAAGGGGTATATACCAGACGCTGTTGACTTATTTATGGTGGAGTCAGATCTGGTAACGCAAGGTTCTCCACTTCGACAGAGCCTTACAGGTCTCTTTCTCTTTGTCAGGGCGTCTCTATCTCGTTAACAAGGTTCCCCTAACCCAACAGCCACTCTGCCAACGGTGCCCGCCTCCTTCATGACGGAGCTGGAGATCGCCTTCCAAGAACCCAAACAACAGTTCACCGTGTATGGCCAAGAGATGTATGCGACAGGAACGGGGCGTGTTGGACTACTACTTCCGTGAGTACTGCCCCTGCCTACTACTACTGTCCCTACTTACACCCCCCCCTACTGTTACTGGCCCTGCCTACACCTCCCTACTGCTACTGTCCCTGCCTACACCTCCCTACTGCTACTGTCCTGGCTACACCTCTCCCTACTGCTACTGTCCCGCTACACCTCCCTACTGCTACTGTCCCTGCCTACACCCCTACTGCTACTGTCCCTGCTCTACACCTCCCTACTGCTACTGTCCTGCCTACACCCCTACTGCTACTGTCCCTGCTCACCCCCTACTGCACTGTCCTGGCTACACCTCTACTGCTACTGTCCCTGGCTACACCTCTATTACATTGTCCTTGGCTACACCCCTACTGCACTGTCCCTGCCTACATCTCCTACTGCTGTCCCTGCTCTACCCCTACTGCTACTTCATCCTGGCTACACCCCCACTGCTACTGTCCCGCCTACACCCCTACTGCTACTGTCCCTGGCTACACCCCCTACTGCATTGTCCCTGCTTACACCTCACTGCTACTGTCCCTGCTTCACACCCCTGTTACTGTCCCTGCTCTACACCCCTATCCAGCATTGTCCCTGCCTACACCCCTACTGCACTGTCCCTGGCTACACCCCTACTGCTGTCCTGTTTACACCCCCTACTGCTACTGTCCCTACACTCCCCTACTGCTACTGTCCTGCTCTACACTTTACTGTTAATTGTCCTGCCTACACTTCCCATTGTTATCCCTGCCTACACCTCACTACATTGTCCTTTACCTACACCCCTTTATTGCCATTGTCCTTTATACCTCTCTCTACTTGCTATTGTCCCTGCTTACACTTCCCCATTGCTATTGTCCTTATACCTCATTGCTATTGTCCTTGCTTACACCTTTACTGCATTGTCTCGCTTACACTCTCCCACTGCTACATTGTCCTTGCTTACACTTTATGCCATTGTCCTGCTTTACACCCTCTCTACTGCTACTGTCCCTGCCTACACCCCTACTACTTCGTCCCTGGCTACACCCCTACTGCTACTGTCCCTGCCTACACCCCATTGCTACTGTCCTCACTCTCATTGCTACTGTCCCTGCCTACACCCCTACTTTCAGCATTGCCCTTGCTACAACCTCCTTATTGCTACTGTCCCTACCTACACCTCCCATTGCTACTGTCCCTGCTCACACCTCCTATCTGCCATTGTCCCTGCCTACACCTCCCTACTGCTACTGTCCCACTCTACACCCCTACTACATTGTCCCTGCCTACACCCCTACTGCTACTGTCCCTGACTAATCTCCCTACTGCTACTGTCCCTGCCTACACCTCCCTACTGCTACTGTCCCTGCTCTACACCTCCCATTGCTGTCCTGTTACACTCTCCTTACTACATTGTCCTTGCTCTACACTTCCCATATACTGTCCCCTTGCTTCTTACACCTCCTTCATTGCTATTGTCCTTACTCTATACTTATTACATTGTCCTTGGTTACACCTCCCTTACTACATTGTCCCGTTTACACTCTACTGCATTAAGTCCTGCCTACACTTCCCATTGTTACTGTCCCTGCTTACACCTTCCTACTGCTAATTGTCCCTGCTATACCCCTACTGCTACTGTCCCTAGTTTACACCTCCCTACTGCCATTGTCCTTGCTTACACTCCCTACTACATTGTCCTACTCTACACCTCCTTTACTGCTACTGTCCCTGCTTACCCCTACTGCTACTGTCCTACTCTACACCCTCATTACATTGTCCTTACCTTACACCTCTCATTGCATTGTCCCTGCCTATACCCCTCCCCATTGCTACTGTCCCTTGGCTAGCACTCTCCCTATGCTACTGTCCCACTTACACCTCCCTTATCAGCATTGTCCTGTTTTACACCCCTATCAGCATTGTCCTACTTCATACCCCCTACTGCTACTGTCCCTGTTTACACCTCCTATTACATTGTCCTTCTATACCTCCCATTGCTACTGTCCCTGCTTACACCTCCCATTGCTACTGTCCCTTCCTACACCCCCTACTGCTATTGTCCCTACCTACACTTCATTGCTACTGTCCCTACTCTTACACCTCTACTACTACTGTCCTGCTCTACACCTCCCTTACTGCTACTGTCCCTTGGCTACACCTCCTTACTGCTACTGTCCTGCTTACACTCCCTACTGCTATTGTCCCTACTTCCATACCTCCTTTACTCTACTGTCACACCTCCCCATTGCTACTGTCCTTGTTTACACTCCTCCCATTGCTACTGTCCCACTCTACACCCCCATTGCTACTGTCCCTGCTTACACCCCTAATTGCTATTGTCCCTGCCTACACCCCCTACTGCTACTGTCCCTACTTACAATCTCCCTACTGCTATTGTCCTTACTCTACACTTTTTCATTGCTATTGTCCCTGCCTTACACCCTTTACTACATTGTCCTTACTTACACTTCTACTTCTATTGTCCTTATTACACCTCCTTAAGCATTGTCCTACTTTACACCTTCCCTTACTGCTACTGTCCCTGCTTACACCTCCTATTGCTAATTGTCCCTGCCTACACCTCTACTCCTACTGTCCCTGCTTACACCCCCTACTACTGCTATTGTCCCGCTTACACCTCCTTGCTACTGTCCCTACCTACACCCCCCTACTCCTACTTTGTCCCGCTTCACACTCCCTACTGCTACTGTCCCTGCTCTTACACCTCCCTACTGCCATTCCCTGGTTACACTCTCCTCATGCTATTGTCCCTTGGCTACACTCTTTATGTTATTGTCCTTGCTTACACCCTTTACTTGCATTGTCCTGGTTTACACCCTACTGCATTGTCCCTGCTTCTTACACCTCCTACTGTTACTAACTCGTTTACACCCCACTGCTACTGTCCCTGCTCTACACCTCCCTACTACTGTCTCCTGCTTACACCTCCCTACTGCTACTGTCCCTGGCTACACCCCCTACTGCTACTGTCCCTGCTCTTACACCCCTTACTACATTGTCCCTGCTTACACCCCTTTACTGCTACTGTCCCTGACTCTTACCTCCCTACCGCTACTGTCCCTGCTCTACTGCTATTGTCCCTGCTTACACCTCCCTACTGCTGTCCCTGCTCTACCTCCCTACTGTTACTGTTCCTCCTACACTTCCCTACTGCTATTGTCCTTATATACACTTCTACTGCTATTGTCCTTCTTACCAAACCTCATTACATTAACTTCCTGCTTACACCCCTCATTGCTACTGTCCTTGCTACACCTCCCTACTGCTACTGTCTCTACACCTCCCTACTGCTATTGTCCCTGCTTTACACCCCCTTACTGCTATTGTCCCGTTTACACCCCCTACTGCTACTGTCCCTGTCTTACACCTTCCCATTGCTATTGTCCTGTTTACACTTCATTGCTATTGATCCCTTTACTATTGTCCCTGTTTACACTCTTACTCACATTGTCCTGTTTACACATCTTACTGCTATTGTCCCTGTTTACACCCCTACTACATTGTCCCGTTTACACTTCTACTGCTAATTGTCCCGCTTACACTCTCTACTACATTGTCCCTGCTTTACACCCCTACTACATTGTCCCTACCTACACCCCTACTGCTACTGTCCCTGCTTACACCCCCTACTGCTATTGTCCTGCTTACACTCCCTCTACTGCTACTGTCCTTTCCTACACTCCTCCTATTGCTATTGTCCCGTTTACACTCTACTGCTATTGTCCTCTACACCCCATTACTGTCCCTGCTTACACCCCTACTGCTACTGTCCCTACTCACACCCCTACTGCTCATTGTCCCGCTTCACACCTCCCTACTGCTACTGTCCCACTCTACACCCCTACTGCTACTGTCCTTGCT